GCAGTAAATAAGGCAGTGGCTATTACTCATCTGTAGCTTTTCTGAGATAAGCTATCAAATCTGCCTGGTCTCCCTTCTTCTTAATGCCAGCGAAGATCATTTTTGTCCCAGGGATGTACTTTTTGGGATTCTCCAAATACTCCATCAGTGTATCCTCTCCCCAGGTGATGCCTTTGTTCTTGCTGGCATCTGTGTAAGTGAATCCAGATGCTTGACCCGTCTTCCGACCAAACAGACTATGAAGATTAGGCCCAGTCTTGTGCTTGCCTCTCTTTTCAACAGTGTGGCACTGGGCACACTTCTGAGCAAAAACCTTCTTGCCTTTCTCAACATCACCATTTTCAGTTCGTTCTCTCCTCGTTATCACAGGAAGGATAACAGCTCCGCACTCTCTTCACTTGTTCTTGACCAAAAGGATGATATAAAAGAAATGTGCAAAAAAGAATACTTCCGAGTATACCGAAGAGTTTGTGGATAGAGAATCAGTACAGATGTAGAACATTTAAAGTACCTACAACAACATATCTTTTCTCTTTTTTAATTAATGTATATTGTCTCAGTATGCTATTCCCACACATGCATATAAATGTACTTTGCGCTAAGTCCCCCAATTACATTTGCTTTTTTTTCCTTCCCCCTTTTTAAACCATTTAAATAGACTTCATTCATCTTTCCCCTCCATTCTTTCACTAGCTCCCACCCCCAAAAAGCCCGCCCTCCTCTCCATTTTATACTTATGTCATTCTGTTACTATTTTTAAGGTCTAGTGTCTGTATGGGAGAAAATCTGATATTTTTTCCTCAATCCTGCTTATAAAATAAACATCAAAATAAATGTTTCTTTTGAAAACAAAAAGATGACTTAGAGTTGGGAAGGATCTTTTACAAAATTATTTTTATTTTATTTTTATTGTAAAGGTGATGTACAGAGGGGTTACAATTACATATGTAAGGTTGAACTTGTTACCCCCTCTCTCATTTTTCTCCTGCTTTCCTACTCCACAAATCCCCACCCCAAAGTTGTACAGATCATTTCCAGCATACTGTCTTGTGCATATCTCTGTTGCATTGGTTGCCTTTTATCTCTCCATTCTGTTGTTCCCCTCCCCTTCCATTTATATCATATCATCTTAAATAATCTAAATGTATTTCAACTTTAGAACTCTATGTTGTGATACTTCCTATAAGTTTGAGAATCATTCCTTAGGGATACTAAGTACTATCTATATCTTAATCTAGTTCATAATTGTGTGGAAACCTTAAAAACTAGGTATACAAGGAATTATCACTTATGTTTTAATTTTTCACAATTCCATTTTAAAAATTCCTAACACAACCTCTGTACATATAAGCTTCTATATTTCTGTACTTCACAAAAATCAGTGTTCTTATTTGAGAATCTGAGCCTGTGTGAAAATTTGTATTATTCACAAGCAGATTTTTGTCTTTGCTTTCAAGCGGTCATGTTCTGAAACGTTCGTGTTACTGATTGGTGCATAATTAATTCCAAAAGAATTCATTGCTCTTCTTTGGCCAGTTCTTTGCCCAGCCAAAGAGTGGCTTTGCAGTTTCTAGGCCATAGGAGAAGGTAAACTCCCAACCCTCGTGTACTTGAGTAAGTCTGTGCTCCCGTCTACATGAATATCCTCGCTGGAGTCTATGACGCACGGGTATGCTTGCAGTTTGTACAGTCTGTGATTTATGGAGGCACATAGGTCAGGAGTTTATTATGCTGAAAATCATAATAACTATTTTGTTTTCCTTTTGAAAATGAAGTGACCGAAGCCTGTTGAAAGATAAATGGGTGAAGCATTTTTGATTATGCTTTTATTTCTCTTAAAGATTAAATATTATTGCAGAATAACCAGCCATCCTAAGTATTATGGCATTAAATCTAAAGTAGTTTGTAAGCTGATAGCCCCTTCTTTCCTCTGGGTTTAGGTTTGTTATTAATCAAAATGTTGGACTTGTTTAGTGCAGTGGTGTATGAAACAAACAGTTGAAACAGGCAGCTCCTTTAATTTATGGCTTTCTATTTTTTCACATTTGTAAGAAAATCTGTTTCTCCTTGTCGACTTTGTGCTGCTGTTCACGTGTCTAGATTTTATTTCCTACACCAGAGCCAAGACTTGCAAGATTATCTCGTGGCATAAAAAGAGGAAGGTGTCCTTTTGTGATTTTAAATTGACAAAGTCTGGTAAAATCATTTTTGAAATGTGGACCATTTCTACCTGAAATTGATACTACAAAAAAAAAAAAAAACACCCTGTATTTTGGGATAAAGAATGGATCATTTTTAAAATAGAATGACGTATATGTGGAAATGTGTTAATAACTTAGTTGGATGGGAAGAAAATATCCATAAAATTGTTCTAAAGGGTAGCATGTGATTCCAGCTACTTCTTCCTGTTGAGTTAGGTATCAACCTTACCACTAAGTATGTGGCAAGCTACTAAGACCTTGTTGGAATGCAGTGTAGGGGCTGAGTCCTGATATGTGGCAAAGAACCCTTAAATGAACAGTCTTGACATTCTTCTTGTCATTGTTTTTTTTTTTTTCTGCTTATGTGGTGCTGAGGAATCGAACCAAGGGCCTCATGCATGCAAGGCAAGCGCTCTACCACTGAGCCACCTTCAATAATATACCTAGAATTTCTAGAATGCGCTTTATGGGGAACACTGTATAGATTATAAGAAATATTGAAGAACAGACCAACATTCTGTGTGTATCCACATGTGGGCACACATGCACATACACGCACCGATCTTTAGGACTGGAAGTCAAGGCCTGACTACTGCCTCTTTTTCTTCCAAAGCTGGTACTTTACTACTTGAGCCACACCACCAATTCCAACTTGTAATGATTACTTGGATATAAAAGTCTGTGGACTTTCCTGCCCAGGCTCGCTTTGTGAGCCTCTAGCAGCCAGAAAAACCAACTTTCGATGAAAAATTAAAACACTAACTGGATTATTCAAATCATAATGAGCAATGTTATTAGGCTAGCTCTCACCAAGCAAAGCAGTTGCAAATCTTATGTAAAGTCCTTAGAAGCACAAGCATTCAAAAGTGATTGTTGCTGATTGGCTGGCTTTCAGAAGCACTTCACTGGGTGAGTCTGCCACTTGGTTAGCCAACTTCCAAAAACGTGTGGCTCTTGCTGGTTAGTTGGCTTTCAGCAATATATGTTCTGAGGTGGTATCACTGATCATTTAAACCTAAGTGAGTCTTCATTAATTGGCTCAGTCTAGTAGATGTTTCCTGCTGATTCCATTGGTTACTTGTTACTATGACTATAGATCATTCAACCTTTTTTTGGAGTTAGAAATTACTTACTTTGCGAGGCTAATTCTTAAAACACTAGAAAATTGAAATCACAAGAAAATCAGACTCTGGAATCCATCTGTATGTGCAGTGGCTACATGATGCATTTTCTAAGGGTTTACTAAAGCAACTATAGCATAAAAAGTCAGCAGTCACATATCACATGGGTCTCTACTGAGATTTTATGCAACCTGATACAAATAGCATATTATTAATTAAAAAGAACAGTAATATGAATATGATTTGCATCATTTGTGAATTCAAGTAGATTCTAGGTCATCTATCGCTGGTACTCATGAGCTTTCTCAGTGAAATAGAAGAGGTAGAGAGCACTTCCACTTACCCTGAGGAGTGGCAGCTACAATGCTCAGAAATGGCAAGTCTTTCTCTCCCAAGAGCATTAGGATTCTTCAAAATCTGAATATATTGACAGTTTTCCCCTCAAATAAATGTCACTCCTTGTTTTAGCTATTGAGGGGAAAGCAAAGAGTGAGTGTTCTCTACTAGGACTTACTGCCAGATCTCTGCTTATATATAGATACAGGGCAAAAGAAATTAATAGCCTATTTAAGTTTCATCTGAAAGTTGCAGTGGTATATACAGAGTATTTAGTCCTATAAGCAGTTTAGCTCTATCTGCTGTGATGAAGAAAAGAATGAATAAGACACCTTAATTTTTTGATTTAACTAAGTGGTAGAGAAACCTTAACAATATTGTTTTGTTGTATAAAACTGAATTTTTCTCCTTCCAAATTTATCCAGTCACCTTGAAGTCTGATCTTTTTGACTCCTCTGTTTATTCCTCACACCTCTTAATGGGGGCTCAGTTAATCACTTACACATTCCCTGATGCCAAGGACAGACAGCTTATGACCACTTTAGATTCAAGCACATGTTGATACCTTAAGACTAGTAAGTGTTCGCTGGAATAGGAACACAGGATGGTTAGATTTATAGTAATCAACAGTATGAGGAGAAAATCAGTCCATGCCGTGGAGTTAAGCCAAAACTTTACTTTCCTTTTATATGAAAACAAATTAAATCCAGCAACTGTCCAGAAAAGTTTGGTGACACCATTTCAATATTACTTTCATTTTTTTAACTCTCACTATAATATACATTATAAATATACATATAAGTGTCTGTATATATACACACAACAAATAAATTTGTGGCACTGGGGATCATGGTAGGCAAGTGCTCTACCACTGAGCACCATCCCAAACCTGACTATTTTGAGTTTTCTTCGTGTAATCCTTGCTTTTGACCCATTGAGCTACTTAAAACATAAACCATCAGATAGGTGTGGTTTATTGTCTGGCGTTTTGTCCTTTAACCTGGTGAGGAGAATTTACTCTTTGAGCACAGTTTGAGGAGCGCTTGAACTCTCATCCCCTCCCACCAGGAAGGAACCTCAAGTGAAGGCAAGACAGAGATTTCACTACTAGAAATACAACCAATCAGAACAAGCCCCAGGCACGTTTTTTAAAAAACTACAGTGTTTTCTGAGAGGTTGATTTCCGTGTGGGACAAGACCCATAAGCAGCAACTCCATCGTGGTGTTTGGTGTTCGGTGTTCCATACCATTATGGCTCATTTTGCCAATGACAGTGGGATATGAAATTTCTATGTTCAGTGCTCATGCAAAGATCACTGAAGCATTTCTCTTCCATCCTTAGGATGTCACATGTACTCCAGTTTGAGGATAAAAGCAGAAAAGTTAAAGATGCAAGCATGCAAGATTCAGATACATTTGAAATCTATGATCCTCGGAATCCAGTGAATAAAAGAAGAAGGGAAGAAAGCAAGAAGTTAATGAGAGAGAAAAAAGAAAGAAGATAAAGAGAGATTATCGATAACCAGAACATGCTAGAATATGCCAGCAATAAATGGCCTTCCAATGGCCATTGTTCCCCACAGCATCACATCACGTAGGGGTGTGAAAAGTAGTTTTGAACCTGTTGTCTGGTTATAAAAGACAATTACTATGTTTTTTAAGTTCTGGAATGATGTAAGCAAATGCCTTTGGTTACTGGTTCATGCTTTTTTCCTAACTAACCTTTTATAGTGCTAAATCTGAAATAAAATCTGTTTCCTTCAGCTTATATGTTAAGCATTTGCAGATTGCACAAGCCTGATTGTGCTCATTTTTCTTGAAATATGTGAGGCTTCTTTTTCAAGATTTTTTTATAAGAATTTCTTGCAGAGAGACTATTTAAGGGAAATCTCTCTAACACTAACTTTGGGATATAATTAAAAAAGTATCAAATAAAAATACAAGTATTGATGGTTTTATTGTGCATCTAAATATGTAAAAATAACCAAACTAGTAATACTTCATAGCCTCATGCTTTAAGTTATAAGGAAATCTCAGTAAATGTTCACCCTTCCTCTAGGCAGTGCCTGCACTTTATGGATACCTTCAGGATGCTTTGCCTCTGTACTTACTGTGAGCCAGGTCCACTACACACCACAGCCTGATGCTGGACACCTGTCATTCCACCCTCCTCTGCACAGCGACTGTAGGAGCTCATACTTAGGTCTCGTGCTGCCAGTGGAACTTGTTAGGAATTTAACCTTTGATGTCAATCGTTCACACTGAGTATTTATATTATTTATATTATTTTTAGTCAGCCTTTTCTAGACTCTAAATGCTAAAATTATACCACAAGACTAATTTTAGTCACCTAATAAAATTTCATCAGCCACTTTTTGAATAGTGCCTGTCTTTCAACATTTAATCTTAAAACATAATAACCCAATAGACTTTTCTCTATATTCTCAAAATATAACAGCAACAATACTACTGCAGAGGTAGTACTTAGAGACCTATGAGAAATGCACACGCACAGTCAAGGAGGAAAAGCTTCCCTAACAGAAGAACATTCTCTTTTTTTTTCTTTTTTTTTTGTCGGGGATGGGGCTTGAACTCTGGGCCTGGGCGCTGTCCCTGAGTTCTTCAGCTCAAGGCTAGCGCTCTGCCACTTGAGCCATAGCGCTACTTCTGGCTTTTTCTGCTTACGTGGTGCTGAGGAATCAAACCCAGGGCCTCATGCATGCAAAGCAAAGCACTCTACCACTGAGCCACTTTCCCAGTCCCAGAAGAACATTCTTTGGTCAAGGGTATATGAGTGGCTATACTCCCCTGCTAAAGCTTCTTACATTCTCAAATATGTGTGTATATTCACTAATCCAAAATTCTTAATCCTAGGTTTATAAAGAAATTTCACAGTGTTCAAGGAGACGTTGATAACATGCATACACTGAAGCATCATTAAGAGGATGGATAAATAGTTACTGTATATCCATAGAATAAAATGCAAAGGTAAGTATCAATACACAGAATATAGCTCGGTAGTAGAGCATTTACTTTGCATATCCCAGGCCCTGAATTTGAGCCTCAGCATTTTGTGAATAAATAACAAAACTATACGTAATCTGTCTCTAAAAATGTGAAAAATGGAAATAAGCTATCTAAAACTTTAAAACGTAATGCATTTAAATATTGTTTATGGGTATATACATATATAACAGAAGTATGGTAAAATAGAAAATCTGTGGTCCCCTCTGAGAAGGAGAAAGGAGTGTCCAGGAGGCTTCATGTGGGCTTAAGCTAGATGATCAGTGCTTAAGTCCTATTCTTCATACATTTTTGAATGTCAAGTATTTCATAATTTGTTTATGTCCTTATCTAGAAAACCAGAGGTGAGAAGACAGAAAGGGTTGTCCATATTAACAGGAACATTTTTTTTTGCTTCAGGAAAAAGTAAGCTTCAAAGAGGAGAGGGAGATGATAGAAATATGCTGGGGAAATGTCAACCAACTCCAATGCACATTAATCAGACTCGGAGCCACCCAACAAGCACTTGGAAGTGTGCCCTATCTTCCCCTTAACACAAAGGCCGTATTATCAGTTTTGCTTCAGCTATTCACAAGTGGCAACTTTGATTTCTAAACACATTCTTTACTGGTCATTAAAAAAAAAATGGCTGCTCAGGCTATGTGAATGTGCCATGTTTCCCTGACATTCCTCCTCAAATGTGACCAGTTTACCAACACAGTATTAACACAAGAACAGAGGGTCCCACACACCTTCTTGGCACATGTCACAATAATAATCTCAGTTTTAAAAGATAATTGAAGCCAGGCACCGGTAACTCACCTGGAATTGAAGCTACGCAGGAGGCTGAGATCCAGAGAATTGTGATTCAAAGTCAGCCCAGGAAGAAAAGTCCAAGAGATTCTATGTCCAAAGTAATCAGCAAAAGCTAAACTGGAAGTGTGGCTCAAGCCATAGAACATCAATCAGCCAAGCAAGCTGAGCAAATGCAAGGTCCTCAATTCAGACTTAAGTACTTGCAAAAAAAAATAATAATTTGATATGATATAAATCTCAGTCTGATTAAGTGTTCTTCATCCTGCTTCATCTGCAAGGAAAGTCCCACAGATATTAGAATGAAAATTCACTGTGATTTAACTGAATAATAACTATTTTGGCAAATATACAGACATAATTAAATTCTGTTGAATATTCTATTAAATGTACTCATAATAAAGCCTTTGGACATAGAAACATGTTTGAGGCACATGAATGACTAGCAACAAGATTAAAATGAGATATAAATTAAAATACCAGACACAAAATAGCAAAAATCAAGTAAAAACTTTTAGATTTCATAAATTTTATATTTGGTCTTTTTTTTTGCGTCTTGCTCAAGGACATTATTCTGAGATAACAATGTCGTTATTCTTGTTCACTATTCTTTTCCAAAATTTTTATTTTATTGTAAAGATGCGATACAGAGGAGTTATAGTTACATGAGTAAGGTAATAAGTACATTTTTTTCTGAGCATTGTTACCCCTTCCCTTGTTGTTCCCCCACTATCCCTTTCCTCTCCCACCTCCCTCACTCCCCACCCCCACCCTGGAAGTTGTAAAGTTCATTTCTAATATACTGTCTTGTGAGTATCATTGTTGCAGTGGGTCATCCTGTGTCCTTATTACCAATCACAAGACTGGAGCCCAGATAAAAACAACTAACAACTGGCAGCTTTTGTTCTGTGTGTGTGTGTGTGTGTGTGTGTGTGTGTGTGTGTGTGTGTGTGTGTGTGTGTGTGTCTGGAGTTTGAACTCATGATCTCATGCTTGGTAGGCAGATGAATCCACAACCCCGTGATTAAGATGGAATCTGGCAAAGTTTTGTTTTTTTTTTTTTTTTACTTTTTGTCCTTCTTTTCTTCCCCTATGTCTTCCCTCCCCAACCCTGCCGCTTCCTGGGGGGGCCGGCAGGGGTTGGCCTTGATCTGTAATCACCCAATCTCCACCTCTCAAGTAGATAGGATTACTGGATTAAGCCACCATTGAGACTCACTGGTTGAAGCTGTTGGCAAAATGAAAACTAAAATTAAGTGTGGACTTTTTCCTTTCTTGAAGGGTAATTTAGGGAAATGTGGCTGTCTCTAAAATTTAATAGTACAATATAAAATTCCACATTGCCACATCCCCTCCATTCTCTGCATCCTCTGAGACCACACAGCCAATGAATGTGCTGCATCTAAAATTGCAGAGGACACCATAAAGCAAGGTCATTAGCCAGTGTGAGATGAGCGTTTTGCTGCCGTTGTTTTTAGAACGTATTCAGTGAGCCACAGTGGGTGTCCTTATCAAACTGTCACAGCCCAGTTTCTTGATAAGATCTGACGTGTGAGGTACATAAACCTGTTGGGTGCTGTCATCGTGGCCTATATAGAAAAGGTTAGATAAATGCAGAATATTGCCTAAACATGCTGTCTAATCTTAGTGATAGCCAGAAAGGCAATGAAGGTGTGAAGTGAGTTACCATTGAGGGTCCTATCAGTATGAGCAATTTGTATGGACGGGGTGTAGAGAAGTTGAGGGGTTACATTCTTCAACACTGCCATTGACAGAACAAGAGTTGTGACTCCTCCAGTAACTCCAAACACTTTATCAGGTGGCACCACTTCCACTTACTAGAAAGCAGGAGTCTTTCCAAGTACATGTTATATCCTTTCTTCTTTTAGCTTTTAATGAAGAGAAGTGATAAGGGATCCCTATTGTAGAGAAATCCTTCCTAATAAGGACTTGGTAACATTTGAATTCTGGGGGAAAAATAGTAAATTTCAGGATCTTATTAGGGTGTTAGCGTTCTATGTTCATAGAAAAAAATAGTCTTTAATTCTCAAAAATAACCCCTCACCACAGCCACAGGTCACAACTTTGTCAGGGAGGAGCCAAGAGTTTCACCCACCCATGTGAAAAGATGTTTTATGTGGTATGATGGTAACCTAGATCCCTAAAAGGGAAGGGGAGAGGAGGGAAGGAGAAAGGAAGGGGAAGTAAGGGAATAGAAGGGTTAAGGGGATGGAAGGGAAGGACAAAGAATGAAAGGGAGGTTTTAATTTGTAGCCTTCTAGCTATCATGACATAAGTACCATCACTTTAGCTAACTTTAATACAACGAAGATACCTCCAGTATACAACTAGTTCTTCCATTTGATTTCACTTAACTAAAAACTTACAATGAAATTAAAGAATTCACACAAAATTGTGAGCTTTTTGTCAGGGTCATGATCTTCATGCATATTTCTATTTTGTGTGATTACTTCAAAATTTGGTCAAAATTGGTTTGGGTCTTTAGATACTCTGTTGATAAAGTTTTCCAAAACCACCTGTCTCATATTTATTTTTATCATTATTTTCTGACCTAGCTAATCCTTTGTCCAATTCAAAAAGCAATGAAATTCTACAGAAAAAGGAAGATAAATATAATTATTATTTTAAGTTATTCCCTGTAAATGATAATATACAAATCTATCAATTAA